TTTATTGTTTTAACAGATGTCAAATATGTTGTCAAATTGAATGGAAGAAATCAATGTTCATTTGAATCATCAGTGGCTGCCTTGCTAAAGCCAGGGTAATAACCGGGGCAGCGCCAGGAGCGTCACAACGTGACGGACATGTGCGCTATATAGAAGCCACCATTATTATTATTATTATCATCATTGCATGATGTCAATATTACATAAGGTTCATTCCATGGGGTCGGAGCAATCTTTGTGACATGCCAGAAGTGAGAAACCATGTCTCCTATCAACAATAACAATGATTGCTCAAATTGAGTTTAGCTTAAAAAGCTTTATGGTGAATCAATATTATAGACCCAAAGTTTATGTAATGATATACAGTGTAAATAAATGTGATGTCTAGGTACAAAAGAAATTCATATTAAGCAAAGATTTTGAAAAGAACCAACTGAAACATGAATAATTCTAGCAGTACACTAATATATTTTCATTGCATAGAAATCATCAACAGATGATTTTATCTTTCATTTAAGCTTGATGGACATCATCCTATTTTTCGCCCCATTCTCATGGAATGACCCATACAATACATGTCTGTAAATAGAAATCATCTGGAGCCAAGCAGGTGCTAACTCATCTTTTAATACAGAGTTAAAGCCCTTCTGGCTGAGAGCTGACCATATCCTTCATCCTACACATTACATGACTTACCCAACCTTTTGTGAAAACATGCCCCTTTATTCACGAAAAGTTGGTAGTAACATTTGTGAAATAATCTTCTATCTCATGTACAAATGGTCTAGTCCAATTTACCCAATACTTTGTGAAAACCCAACGGCAAACCTACAAAAGGTCGCGTCCTTAACACGCATCTTCATCTGATCTTCCGCTTTTGTTTCATGAAAGGTCGTGTAATGCGACCACCTGACCGGCCATGATGACCCGATCATTCGAAGTAAGCCAAATAATTTGATTGCATAGAATTCACAAGGTTGCCATTAAGGTTACCATGGCAACAAGATTACGTATATATCAGCTCAAGGGGCAGTTACATGTATGCAAATTGATTTCATCAAATCTGCTGCTGAGAGATTGAAGGTTTTTCGTTCAAATTATTTTCATACCAATGTAAATGCCCCTCTGGCTTTCAACAAGTAATGATATTTCAAAATGTATTTTCACTGATTACAGAAATCTACATGTATGTATATATACATGTATATAAAAATTTAAAAAAGTAAAATCATTCAAATTGAGGTCAAACATTTATTTGTCCAGTCTATCATTTTGACTGTGATGCTATTGTGGCCTTAGGGAATAAGATCACAATAAATAGGGACTCACTAATTACAAACTGAGAAATCAATACCTCAGGCAATGAAATTTAGTTTTCATTGATTACCTGACTGGACACAGTCTTCAAATTAGTAATTATATGTTTCCTAATTTGAATCGATCATATAGAATGCACAATGTATTCTCTATTGTTCTCAGTTGACCTCATATACAATATTAATGCTGGCCTAAGGGCATTTCTGTAAACGACTAATTGTATTTGGCTTTTCTTTTTTTTATATCATGAAAATAAAGACAGGAAATTAAAGGGGGAGTCCACCTTGATATATCGATTTGAATTTATGCACTTGAGGATTTAGGACAGCACATCTCCCTTGAAACCCCTTTCAAATGTGATGACCTATTTTAATCTTCATTTGTTGTTTCATTGTTCAGGAATTTTAGAGCGAAAAGGCATCCTAACATTGATTGATAACCCTTTATTTGTTTTTTCATTTTTTTGTTTGTAAGAATATTTGATGAATTGTGCCCCCTCCCTTTTGAAGCCTCTCTACACTACTTTGGCCAGGAGGGATTAGACCTCCCTGCATGGTCACTGACAGGTGGTTATCTCATCAAATCAGCTCTCAATTTAAACATACGAAAAAGCGGACCATGGGGCTGCAATGGTCACCAATTAGGCATTGTTTGCTATATAGAGGGCGCAAGTAGCTATAGGTAGTGCAGTGGGGCTTTAAAAGATCCTGGATGCAGCCATGTTTTCAATTACCATGCCTTAGCCCAAACAGCACCTTTTAATGAGTAAACTCACATGCACTTTACACATGTTCCCCAAAATAAACATGGATGAATGATTTTTTCACTGGAGCAAAAAATATCCCAGCCAAATGCAATGTCTGTTTGGTGATGTCTAAATTTACCACTCTCAAATATTTACAATTTAAACAGTGCCAGATGCAGGTTTTCTCACTAATAACAATCTGAAATCTGATCGCCGGGGTAATGATTGTATTGCTGATTTGTTGTCGTAGAGAGGGAACTATCTCACTAGCTTTTGCCTGTAGCTGCACACTCTTGACATTTAATCCACTAGGTTACGTGCTTTAGAGTCCCATCTTGCTTGCCAACATTTCAAATCAAATACCGGTAATGAAACATTTAGCTTTCCCCATTAAATAGATTATCTTATTTTTCTTAGGTTAAGGTTGCTCATTTGTCAGAACATCATGGTTAACCATTACATTAAACCTGATTAATACAGGTATGAATATAATTTAACATGTACATGTATGCTCAACAAAGACTATTGTTCTATTGTACATGTACATATACAGTCAACCCTGCTTCAGTGACCACCTGTCTATAAAGACAATACAACTTTTTTTTCTTCTTCCCTTGAAATGGTTTCTCATTGAAACATGTAATAATGCAGCCTTTGCATAAGGACCTCCTGTTTACAAAGACAATTTCTTGTCTCCCTTGAGTGATCTTTATAGACAGGTTTCACTGTCTTTGATTTATCTTGATTTATTTTTAAAAAATGTCTTAATATTTGTCAATGATTTATGATAATGAATACATTGATCATACATGTACATGTATACTACATGTACATGTAACACAGGGAATTGATACATCAACATCTTCCTTAGATAAAACAATACTCTTGATCCAGAAATCGTGATGCACTCAAAGTTCAGACATGATGCGATACACTTAATTTCATATGGTTTGATGATGCGTTACACTTAATTTCATATGGTTTGATGATGCATACATTAGGAGGCGTATTGTACATTTGTTTAGCTGAGCATGTGCACTGCATGATGTGACATCATCCAATAAAGCGACTATTGGCTTTTTAATTGAGTTTTTAGTCAATTTTCAACTTGATACTCATATTATAGCCCATTGTATACAAAAATTAATACATGCTCGCGCATTAGTAATATGAACTACCCTTGGTTAAGTCACATTAAGACAGACAATGAACTCAATGCAGCTTGTTTGTATTGGTCTTATTCACTATCCTATTGTGACTTAACCTGCATGCAGCGCACATTCATTTAATGCACTCACAAACATGTATTATTTCTATAATCAATAATTAAAGCATCAACTTAATATCCAGCAAACATATCCCTTATGAATTTTGTATTCAAGTCGAATTATTAAAAAGATTTGAGCCTGCCAAAGCAATATCCTGTTTGATCAACTACCCACGGATCTTTCCTCATTGAGGATTATTACTTCCGTCCCGTCAAAAAGGTATAGAACACGAGAATGTGATCATTCATAATGAGGCGATTGAACAGGTTGGCAACTATAAATATCTTGGAACTGTCTTAAATGACAAATTATCATGGAGGGATAACACACAATCGGTGTATAAGAAAGCTAACAAGAGGTTGTTTTTTCTGCGTAAGTTGAAAAGTTTCCATATAGATGCAACAATCCTGACCCTGTTCTACAATTCAATAATAAAGAGTGTCCTGCTTTTCAATATTATATGTTCATTTGGCAATCTATCAAAACAGGACAAGAAGAAATTGGAAAGGCCATGTAAAATAGCACAACGCATAATTGGGGTAGAAGTAGCTTCTGTCGAGTCTCATTGTACTGAGCAAATTGTTGATAAGGTCTGTGCAATCATGAAAGACAGTACCCATCCACTTCATTTATTTTATTCATTTAATCGTTCTGGTATCCGACTTCGCCCCACCCCAACCCGCTTTTCACGATTCAGATATTCATTTGTACCCGACTCTGTTCATAAATTCAACTCACAGGTTAAACATTAAACTTCTGCGTCAGAAATAAATTAATACTGAAACTATTATGATTTGAAATACCAACGACAAAGGCTTAATTTTGAAACTCATGATTTGAAGTACCAACAAGTGCAGTAGAAGACGATTTAAAACTTGGGCTTGCCGAGGAGCTCACCTATTATCTCCTTGGTCTGACTTACTATTTGACATCTTGAGGATATGATACAATATCAATTGAAAGCGTTAGGGCATCAAAAGAGATCTTACATGTACAGATTACTCCATGTTCTGGGGGTGTTTCATGAGGACTAAAAATCAACTTAAGTTGGACTTGAACTATGGCAGGCCATTCATGCCACTGGATGCTCTGAGCCCCATTAGTCTCTCAAGGGACGTCACAAATCTACAGAATCCACAATTTTGATACTATATTACTGAAGGAAAAAACGTTATCTCAAGATCATAACTTCTAAGGTGTTTTTCCTCTAATTTTACATGTACATCAGATTTAAGACTGTTTAAGGTCATAAATTGCCTGCCATATTTCATGTCCAGCTTAAGTTGATGTTATACCCTGTTTAGATCTATGAAAAAAGTGAGGTAATAATAATCTTTTAAAGTCTACTCCAAATTTTATTAAGTTAAACCGAAAATGGAAATTCTTTTTGCCCAATTGATCGTGAGGGGGGGAAAGGGAAAAAAGGGGGAATGGACTCTTTGTGCCCCCCCCCTCCCCATTTGGATGCAGCCAATTCCCTTACTCTGTTTCTTTGATGAAATATCATCTTCATAAATGTTGATTCACTGATAACAATTAAGGCCTGGTGAAATTACATGTTCACTATAATTCTTTGGAGAAAAAAAGGAAACAAATTACTTGGAGGTCATTTTTGCATCTGAACAAAGCACAATATTACATTTTTTAAAACAAAATCAACAAAAACTCACCTTTTCTTGACTTTTTCACTTTCTGGCTTCCCTTGATCATTGGTTCCCATTTCTTAGCTCTCCTGGCTAGCACTGATAGATACTGCTTCATGAACTCCTCATACGTCTCGTAATCAAAGTCACCCGGTCTCTTGAATCCATAGCCATCAATCTCACTGCAAGCAGAAAAAGAAGAAAGAAATTTAGGATTTTCAATTCTTTTTGTGAACAGTCTTTCATTAAAGAATTTGCTAGTAATTTTCTGCTGCGACATATATATATATATATATATATATATATATATATATATACTGTATATATTGCATGAAAAGTGTACAGGAATCTTGATTTAAGCTGTACACTGTTGTCTACAAGGGCATTTTCATAAATTAATGATAAAAGTCACATCTCATTAAAAAAAGGCGTTTAAAGTGTAATACACATGTTTCAAAAGAATGTCTTCAAATTTGTATTAAATATCAAAAAGGAGTCTTCTCCCATTTCATAATGCTGAATTGCTGACTGCTAAATAACTTTGGAAAATGAAAAGTAACTTCAAGCTAAAACATCATAAATGCACCCACATGAGACAGTATCCTCAATGTTATTGAACACTGTACAAACACAAGGAGATCAGTCTGTAATATTGCTGTTTCTCTTTAACTTAACCCATCAGAAAATTCCCTAGTGTCACGCTCCCACCATCAATGCCACCCATCTATCAAATTGAGCACCTTCGATTTTTGCATGAAAGAAATGCATGTTCAACAAATACACATCTATCATATTCCCCTTGCAGGGGCTACTTTCAATGGGAGAAGTTAATATCGAACCCTGGAAGCCCGTCATCATCGTAGAACACATGCTCCTGCCAAAATTGTTATAATTAAAGATAAAGGTGAGTTCTGGAAATGTGATTGCATTGTGAGAAAAAGGTGTGGAATGGATCAGAAGCAGGTGATCATGTAGCATGTAAGTATTGGTGTGCACTGCAAGGTTCTGGAGTCATCAAAATCATCATAAATTTGACGCAGTCTTGGTAAAGTAACAAGCACTGTACACAGAAAGATATACATGTACATATGGGACTACTCAAATGGTGTCGGGGCTACCTACCTTGATTTCCTTATCTTGCTTTGCTCATTACTCAGCCAGTATACATTTTCTTCCAAAATTGTTGGGCACATGACATTTATTTGTAATCTTGAACATTCAGTGTAAGTTTCGTTTGATTCTGTGAGAATTAATTTTTTTTTAAAAACCAAAACTCAAGTTTATCTTCTCCTAAACTTACAGAATTCTTAACTGTAACCCTGGACCTTAAACACTCTATCTAATGTACATGTAATCATAATCCTAACCCTAAACCTAAAGGGGAAGCCCCCCTGATATTAACTTTGTTTTTAATAGAAGCAGAAAAACTGGTCAGTGAAAGTTTGAGCAAAAACCGATTAAAGATATTAAAGGAAGTTATGCATTTTTGAAGATGCATTTAAACAAAAATCGGCAACTCTGTGATATGTTTCTTGTGAGTTCCCTTCTCAATTGCCCTGTACTAACCAAAAATTTATATTTTCTATACATTCACCCTAAATATAATTATTGCAAAATTGTTTTTTATACAACCTCTGTATGAAACAAGTCTATTCCGTCATCAATAAATTATAATCACAGTGTTGCCTATTCGTATTTCACTGATGACAACTGCAAAAATTCAAAAATTTAAAAATTTCCTTTTTTAAATCAGATATAGCTCAAACTAATACATTAATCTGTTTCTCTCATTTCTCTGCTTTTATTGAAACCGATATATATCAGGGTGTACTTGACCTTTAAACGCTATACATAATGAACATGTTATCGTAATCTTAACCATAACCCCTATAATATTACAAAATGGATCCGTGGATGTTTGTCTTTTCCTTCTATGCCTTTAAATGTTTTAAATGAACAAAGTATGCACACCCAAATGATGAAAATCAAGATTTATCATTTTGAAATTGAAGAGAACCTTTAATAAATGTAATACTTGACTTGAACATGTACGATGCGATGTACATGTCTTTGTTCAGTGTATCTCTGGAGAATCACGGTACACTTTGCCCTAACTAAATATACTCTCTGGTAACAGCTGGTTTAATATGTCGGTGGGATCTATGCGAGAGAGGGCAGACAGAATCACTAGGAAATGTGAGGTTACTGTAGACATGGGATTGACGCTGCGCTCTTTAATTGAATCAATACGCAATCTTAACATTCACTCATGCACACTGAGTCTGAAATCGTCAAGCATGGAAAAAAAATTACAGCAATAAAAAAAAATGCTATGATCGATTCCCCTATGACTGACGAGTGTTGGATTGAAGGAATCTGAAGGCTTCATATATCATGTTTTAGGGCGATTCCATACAATGAGTTTACTATGTATCGTATAAATATTAATAACATGATTGAAATAATAATAATATAAAAAGCAATAACAACAACACCATCACCAACAACAATAACAACACCAACATCAATGCCAATAATAATAATAATGGTAGTAATATTGGGCTCTTTTATAGCCCTCATGTCTGTCAAACGTAAGAAAACCCAGTGCTCCAACATTTGAAAGAGAAAGGGCATTCATTTCATCCATATCATATTACACTGAGATAACGCCTTCATATATCTCATAAAGGATACATCGAATGTTAGTTCAACAGTATATTGCACATTTCTATGATTTATGAATCAGTTTGACACATTGATTGATCTGTCACAACTCTGGTTACATTATAAACAACAATTGTACATACTCTGCAATCCTCTCAATGCTGATGAACGTTAAATGCACTTTCATTGAGGGCCTTCGGAAATATTTGAATTCATGAATTAATGTTTCCTTTGGAAGGCCTCTAATAATAGACAGGTTTGAGTGTTTTGAAGTGAAATACTTGAGACAATTAGACATTTTCAAATGTGCATGGAATGAAGGCACAAGAATTTCATCCCATGAAAGCATAAAACTTTGAAATATTACACTAAAGAGAAATACCATTTGTAAAAGGCATACTTGAGTGTAATGAAGTTCACCTGTGTAATGAGGGGGTATATTCATATCTTCAGCGGATACACTTCTTACTTTGAAGATGAATACTCTACTAATATAATTGTATGAAATGAGAGAGGGAAAAAGAGAGGGGGAGGGAGAGGAAGAGAGAGGAAGGGAGGGGGAGGGGGAGAGAGAGAGAGAGAGAGAGAGTGAGAGAGTGAGAGAGAGAGAGAGTGAGAGAGAGAGAGAGAGAGTGGAGAGAGAGAGAGAGAGAGAGAGATAGTGAAAAAAACAGAGAAAGACAGATAGAGAAAGAGAGAGAGAGACACACACACAGAGAGACAAACATATTATAGAGAAAAAGACACACAGGGAGAAAGAGAGAGAGAGAGAGAGAGAGAGAGAGAGATAGCTAGAGACAGAGAGACATAGATGATAGAGAGAGGGGGAGAGACAGAGAAAGAGACAGAGAAACATAGACAGAAAGATACAGACACAAACAGACAGAGAGAAAGAGACAGGCAGGCAGGCAGACGGAAAGTAAAAGAGACAGAGAAGCAGAAAGACACACACAAACAGACAGACAGACAGTGTGAAAGCGAAAGAGAGAGAGAGAGAGAGATAGACAAAGATAAAGAGAGAAGGAAGAGATAGAGGAGGCAAAAAAAAAGAGGAAAAGCAGCGTGATAGAGCGGGAAAGATTGATAGAGGTAGAGTGATATGAGAAAAAAATAGAGAAGCAGACCAAATAACCTTTACAAGGATTTGACTTATATCCATCCACCAAGTATTCTATTTCATGCACAATTCTCACTACAATGGACGTCAGTCCCTGAATATTGCCTTGTTCACACATGTTTTAAACTGCCTCAAAATACACACTGCTACAGCAAAATGAAATTGCTCTGGCTTATTTTGCCAAAGATGAAGAATTCGGGTTGCTACTACTAACTACCCAGTAGGCTTTAGGTTAACCATTAGGTCAAGGGGGTATTAGGTTAACGGTTAGGATTAGGTATAGTGTTTGGTCTAGGGCATTGACCACACAATTATTATTATTATTATTATTATTATTATTGAGTATGCGTTGTACAGTATGTAATACTGTTATGGGCATGTTTTCATTTTTATACACAGCTTCAATTTTCATCTCTATCAGCCATTCATTTAAATGTTAAACATGTTCTTATTCTGCTGTTTCGATTTTGTTTAGCGATTCAGCACATTGCGTATGAACACGGCTTCACGTAACTGCATCTTATCAATGATGTAATACTACATGTATTTGGGCATGTTTCTATTTCTCTAAACAGCTTAATTTTTCACCTCTATCAGCCATTCATTTAAATTCATAAAACGATATTAAAACGATTCAACACATTGCATATAAACAAGGGGTAACAAAACTTATCCGTAACACCCACAGAAACTTGTGCCCTTCACATAACTGCATCTTAACAATGATGTAATACTGTTTGGGCATGATTTTTTTTATTGTTTTACACAGCTTCATTTTCACCTCTATCAGCCATTCATTTAAATTCATAAAACGATATTAAAACGATTCAACAAATTGCGTATGAACAAGGCTATACATTACTGCATCTTATCAATGATGTAATACTGTTTGGGCACGGTATGTAAATTTCTTTACACAGCTTTATTTTTTCACCTCTATCAGCCATTCATTTAAATGTATTATATAAAAACGATGTTAAACGATATTAAAGCGATTCCACACATTGCATATGAACAAGGCTAATGAAATGAATACGTACGATCCCATGAAACGGTAGAGGGGATCATACCCCTGGAAGCGAAGCTCAGGACTCAGAATATGCTCCAAATCTTGCGCTCCAGGAAGATATATGGAGAAAGGCGTCCCTCGTAACGAATACATCGCAACCTGAAGACAAGTAAATCTCAGAGACGACGGAGCGGGGTTATCCCCCAAAACGGGCAGATGATGGGAACTAGGTTGACCCCAAGGGCCGCTGTCACGCTGTACGTGTAAGTAAATCCTGTTTCTCACACACAGGTAACTTGATTCCTCCCGTCACAAAGACTTTCATCATAATTCTCTCTGCATTGTATACAGGCTAATACAAGGCTAACGGACTGGGTTTGTCATCTTTATGT